GATGATATAAATTTGAGAAGAGGGCAAAGGAAGGTTTTTGATGCAGTAATTATCACTTCCTTCTAGTGCTTATCGAATTTTTGCAATAACTCGATTTTTGGATCGGTGTTACCAAAGAAGTAGCTTCTTTTTTATGAAGTTGTTGAGAAGTCTTTCTTTTGGGTTTCTAATAGATGTAGTAGAGTAAATTTACGTTGGACTGGGTGGCTTCATAATCCATCTTTAGCCACTAATATGGTGTAATCTTTTTCTAGCTTCTTGCTAGTTGTTTTTAATAAATTTATGCTGTTCCAAAAAAAATATTGTACCTGGCATATCATTTAATGAAGCTGATAATGCCTTAGCTAAATGAACAGAGATATTTACTCAACTTTTATTCAGTTTCAAATTATATTAAAAACATATTAATTGTATATTCAAGGTTTCTATTTTTCAAATCAAATTCATCTGTTGAACACAAACACTTGGCAGAAGAGTCGAGAAAACCTCATATGCTATTCATTGTTTGGGAAGGTGTGGTGGTGGTAGCTATTGCAGGAGCATTCCTCCTGTTTCTGCACCTATTTGCAATCTATATGAGTTTCTTACCATAATTAACTAAAAAAAGTAAATTAAGATTCAATTGAAGTTGAAACCTTCCAAAATTGCAATTGCCTTTGGATCTTGAATATACCAGAATAAGGTAATAACAATGAAATGTTGGTCGGTGTTGTGTTCGACGTTTGTTGGTGATGCTGTATGTATTCATAGAAGAAAAACAAATCATATAAAAATGAATAATAGTATATATTCTAGTAAAATCAATAGGATAATGTAAGGCTATTATGTAAAACTCAAGTCAACTAAATTTCTTATTGTTCATGGATTTTGTGGATTACATGAAGCATTAGAGTAGATGAGACAACAATTACAAGAGTTCATTTGAAGGGAGTATGCCAGTGATGTTGAAGACCTTTGTAAGGGTATTTTGGTCCAATAATGTTTATGATTCTTGTCCAGTAGGTGAAAAATCTTGGGTAACCATCGCCATATAACTCGGGACGTACTTGAAAAATTATCAATGTATATCTTGTCATTATATCTATGAACCCAAACTAATGTTTGATATAAGTAATTGTTGCCAACAATTACCTGTCAACATGATTCTACTATATTATCCATGAAAAAATATGCAAGTGAAGTTTATAAATTCTACATCTCAATCTCCTAAAAGTTCAAGAAACCTTGAGGTCCCACCCTACAGATATCAACAATCAATACAAATAAGCAAAAATATATATAATTATATGTTGATTTTTCATTTATCCATTTCCTTCAATCAACTTAAAGAAGAAGGAAAACAAAGCAGAAGATGGAAAAAGAAGACAAATGGATTGCAAAATATGAACTGGGTGTAACTTTATGATACAAAACATCGACTTAACAAAAAAAAAATATATTGACTGCTTTTTCTACACAACATGACCATTCTAGATGCTTTGCTGGATCTCGGTACAAAAAGGCTGGCCCTAGTATGTGATGAGCCAATCAATCAAGGGTTTTGTTATCTTACAGAAAATTAAATTTAATCTGTTTATAAACATGTTTGACTTTATCTTCTTTAAAAATCGATACATCATACATGTGTTTTTTAATCAACATTGTCTCGTCATCTGTTTCCATCTTGGTTCACATCATATTATTTTGTTCCAAATAGATAACACATAAATGGTGCCATCATCTACTTACATAAATAGATTGTGTAGAACAATATTTTTGAAATTTATTTTTTGGAAGTCACTCAAAATAACCTTTTTCTTGGCTTGAAATTCTTACCAATCTAGGATGCATAGATTTAACTTCACTGGTTTCCTGGATAGCCTACATAATTCCTTGAAAATCAAAACCAATCGAGCAAAGAAAAACATAATAAACCCATGAATAATCGTTTGATTTGGGCCAGTATTTTTGTACTGAGATTCATTTCTCTCTCTCTCTCTCTCTCTCTCTAAATTCCCTCTTAAGGTATGCGTAGTGTATAGTATAACTGTATATCACTTCAATTTCCCTAAATCATGAAGTATTTTGTGTATTGATCGATTTGTGTATATGAATTTATGTTTTTAGGGTTCGATTCTCAAGTTGAGTGATATCAATCAGGCATCAATTATGTCTCTGACACCAAGCGCGAGGACTGAGGTTCGCCAGAACCGATACAAGGCCGTCGTCGATGCGGATGAAGGAAGGCGGCAGAGAGAAGACAATATGGCTGAGATCCGTAAGAATAAGAGAGAAGAGAACTTACTTAAGAAACGTCAAGTACAACCGTCGTCACAACCTTTGTCCACCGGTACTCCAGTCGTAACCTCCACCATGGAGAAAAAGGTTAACTCTCACTTTCCGATTCGATTTTGAATTCATTTTACGTTTTTTGTAACTATAACATTAGATGCGTATGGTTAGAGTTGTATACCTAGTATTATTATTACTTTGATATATTGTTTGTTAATATTACAAGTTCTGGTATGATTGTAATTAAAACTGAATCAAACCTGATCGCCAAAGCAAAACATCACTCATCGTATCCCACCTCCTGCCACGAAAAACCTAACGATCAAATTGAGATATAATAACTAAGACAACGGAAAATTGACATACCTTTCAAAAGACAAAGATCATAATAAGAAGAAGTGAAAATTGGGTTCAAGTCCTTTACCTGGATTGATTCCAGATCTTCAATCAGTCAAGCTTGAACTGGTAGTAAGTAATCGCACAATCAAGTCGATAGAGAAGCAAAAACTTAGCTGTGAAGGAAGACGAAAGGCGACACATGAAAATAAACATATGTGATCATCTGGTGTCCACCATGGCGGTGGTCCGGGATGGTAAGGGGAGTCGATGGTGGTGTGTTGGGGTGTGTCGCAGTCGATTAACCGCCAGTGGGTAGTATAGGCAGAAGACGATGAAGATACAATCGAAAGTGGAAGACGATGAAGCCTTATTACTGTAACGTAGAAGAAGCCTAATCCTTAAATTTAACCCTAGCAGGCTGAGGGAATCGGGAAGAATAAGATGGAGAAGGAGGCGGAAGGTGAAATCGATCCCTGCTGTTTCTGAAACTCATATGCGATGGCAATGAAGTTGAATGATTGGAGGAAAGGAGGAGAGTGAAGACCAGATGCTGGAGAAAAAAATAGAAAGGGGTATTTGATTGATGATGGAGCAGTGGATTATAGGAGAATCGGTAAGTCGGCAAGAGAAGTAGGTCGAATGGAAAACACGTATACAATGGATATCCCAACGCGACGACGTGTACAGGAGGAACGCCACCACGTGTACAGAGGGCTCTTAGACCAGGAAGGACAAAATTGCAATTTCGATGAATATTTTAATGAGGAGTGAGCAATGTCCACATAACACATACCCACCAAGAATATACAAAATGGCAAAATATAACCCATAAAAAAAAGACACAGATTTGCAACCCACCCATAAACAAAGAGCCATTTCTGCCAAAAATAACAAAGTTCACTATTCCTAAGAATAGTTCATCTTTAATATTTATATAAGAATTGATTCTTCATTTTAAAATTCAGATTTAAAATTTTCTCACTTTAATTATATTAAATTAATAACATTAGATTAAAAAATAAAATAAAATTAATACTGATTATAAGATGATATAATTTCACGTATTTATTTAAATTAACGATTATAATTTTATATAATTAAAAAAATATCTATTAAGTAATAATTTATTTAAAATAATTGATTAATAATTTTAATTTTTTAATATCAAAGTTTATTAATTTTATAACCATTGTTCTCAAGTTTATAAACTAATCGATCGTATAGTAGTTGGTAATGCTTTTTTAGTAATATCAAGAAACATGTTTTGAAATAATCGTGATGGCATTTGTTTAATATTTATTGTCGTATGGAATCCAAAGGTAAACGAGTAAGGATCACCCTCATTGGAGCGACATAGTTCTCATATTTCACATTGTTTTTTATTTTATTTTCTTAACCATTTTATGGCACGTTTAATTTACAACTCATATTTGAAAGGATTTTTCAAGTTTTATTTGTGTCATTTGTCAACAACTTACATGACAAGATCGTAAGTTTAACTTTATCACGGAAGAAATTATGAATGTTTGTTTGGGTCCTTAAGTGGATTGGTTAGATTCGAACAAATCAACTAATATACACATTTGTTTTAGTGTTTAAACATGTATTAAAATATTTCAAATTAAATTCAAATCCAATCCAAATGAATTTAATTGTAATTCGGTTTGATCAGTTTACAATTTGATTTTAAAAAACCAAAGATTATAAAAATATACATATAACTTTGACTATTAGCAAACTTGAGTTGTCAAATTTAACTCTATGAATTATTCAACGTCTTGTTTCTTAATCTACCGCGATGATAAAGAAATTTTTTTTAATTAATATCCTACAAAAGTAAGGATTAAATATATTGCCCTTATTAATTTACTAATAAGTATATGCCACACTTAAAATGTTTACAACTTGACAAAATGAAGTATTAACAGAATATAAGCGTCACCAAAAGATTACACAAATAAAGATCGATGCTCATATTTAGACCAATAAACTATTAAACCTATGCTGCATTTTTTTGACAGGAGTCCAATTTGAGAACCAAAAGTGCTAATTATTTGTATTCTTGAAGCTGTAACGAATAGAGTTTGTAGTTATCTTGCATCATGTCACTGAGAATATGCTATTTTCGACCATTCTTAGTGTCCAAGATTCAACTATGCATGGTCAATTAATTATCAATTGTGGTGCAGATGATTTTGTCAACAGAAAGCTTCACATACATCTTTTTAGACAGTAGAGACAATAGCAAAATATATCGTCTGAGCTTCCCCCCTCTCAGTTCGGAAATTCGTGGGCATTTTGATTCTTTTTACGAATCTATAATTCTCATTTTAATTGAATATATGGATAATTAGATAGGAAGTAACAACAAACATTAATCTGTTTACATGTCAAGATGATCTAGCTTTCGGTGGAGCCATTACGACTAACTTGGATGGATTTGTCCAAGAATCCATTTCATGGATAACCTTGCTTCCGTCACTTTCTACCACCACCACCTCTCCAAAGTGGACATGCCTTGAACCAACAACATTGGTCGTACCTGATGGCTGTGGCTGTGGCTTTGGGGGTTTATCCTTGGATAAGGGCCTACCCGTGGCTTGGTCTTGGCTTGAGATCATAGCATTCTGACGAGGTGGCATTGGATAAACAGGACCCCCTCGCCTTGAATAATTCTGATGGACGTCGTAGGGGTAGGAAGTTTCTCTAGGACAACAAGTACCCTTGAAGCACGTATACAAATAGGTCAACATCCAAAAGGCCCAAGGAGAGCCTATCAGAAGAAATGCAACTACAGGAAACCATGGTTGGGCGATGCTGGGTAGAAAAACGTAGAAAGTGAGGAAAATACCACCGATGATTACCAAAACGAAGAAGAGAGAGGAGATTAAAGGTACCCTCAAATCTCCATCCCTTACATCCTCCATTGTTTTAAATCCTTGTCTCGTTCTATCAACATAATTTCATTCGCTCTCTTCGTATATTTACCTTCTCTTTCTCTCTCCTTAACTTCCTGTTTTAGGGCTTTCTCCAATGTTTGTTAAACTTGTCTATTTACCCACCATGCATGTTGGAAAAAATATAGGGCTTCTATAAGGGAAATCTCCTATATTTTTGCCTCGCAGCCTTTAATTGTTTTAAAGAAAATTAAGTAAAATTAAATTCCAACCCAGCTAAATTAAATCTTTTTAAATACTGTGCATCATGCTATAATATCTTTGTTACACATTATATAAGGAAAAATGACACAAATGCCGTACGAACTTTATAGAGTTGGTCACTTTAGTCCGTAAACTATTTTCGTGGCTTTATTAAAGAATAAAGTCGTTTGTGTCGGGTCTAATAGGTTTTGTTGGAAGATTGGAAGAAGTAAGCCGGTGACATTTTTGCCACCTCATTTAATGAACTGCCACATATCCTTTAAAAATCTCCCAAGAAATTCGCCATTAATAAGCCTTCCTCTCAACCAAAGTTAATCCTTGAAATAAAATCCACTTAATCACCTCGAAGCTACACAAAAGGAACTCAACATGGCCATGCACAAATACACTAAACTCCTCGAGAAACAATTATATCCAAACATATAAAACCTTACGGAACCGTCGAATTTCATTCCTACACAATTAACCATATAATCACTAGTAATTTATATCACGAACGCATGTTTGAAATAGGCGATTGTTTCATAAATTAAGCTCACGAAAAATAAACCATCGTTGACAAAAAACCCAAATCTTAAATCCATAAAGTCGCATGACCTAACTCCTGCTTTGAAGTGGGTCATAATTAAGCATGACAAGCTCCAAAAAACTGATACGACATCAAATTAAAGCTTCATCGTTTACAATTCATGGACATTCCTGAAAATGGCAATCGAGATGAAGCTTTACCATACAGAAGAACTCATTTCGCCCCTTTTGCGGCCCAACACCTTCATGAAATCCAAAAGATCATGTTGTGTCTTTGATGGGTCAGAAATACTGACTCGCCACTGTAACTCCGTGGGCGAAACTTGCTGACGAACTCATTCATCAATTTTATAATATCTTAGGTGAATCATATGAAATCCACTTGAGAGTGACGGTGCTGCCAGCATTCAAGGGTTTTCGACTTTATAAAAACAGATGAATGTGATGACGGGGAGTGAGTGGTGGTGAAGATGTAGTTGTGTGTGTGTGTGTGTGTGTTTATGTGTTCCTTTCTACAAGGGATGCCAACTTTATTATCTTAATTTTGACTAGAAGATGAAATTATGAACTTTACTGTCCACATCATCTTAAATTATTAATGTTGCATATAAAATTGGTTATTCTAAGTTAGAGGGACTAAAAAGATAGGCTGCCCACGAGTTGGTTCCCTCATAAAACCACGAAAATAGTTTAGGGACTAAAATGGTCAATCCTAAAAAGTTTATAGGGCAATTGTGTCATTTCTCCATTATATAAATATAGGGTGGATTTGTCCTATAATCTTATGTAAGACGTTAATTACCTATTTATACAACCATATATCACGCTTTTAACCATTTATCTAGCAAAATGTTCTAAATAATTTACTAAATTATGAATGCCAAAATTGGTAAAAGCATAATCACAACAAGAAAGAGAGTAACAGTTAATTCTACATGTCATTGATGATAACTCATCGTTATTGCTTAGAGTGACGGATCCTGAGGATTCCCCAGGTTTCCAGACCACTACTCGGTTTCAACTTATAATTATAAAAAATGTAAATTTATTATTATTTTTTTATGGTGTAGCCATTAAAAAAATATATGTAATTACTAGTATATGTTGAGTGAATTTTTTTGGTGCCCCTACAACTACAACTGTAATTTCTTGCATTGGTCCTTGATTGCTCATATTATCGCTGCTAATAATTCTGTAACTTAGTTGTTTGTAACGTCCGGACTCTTGGAGGTAATTAAATAAATGAATTTTGGATTTTGGGTGGTACCACATCATGATGAAGGCATCCCACGACGTGGTGATGGTTGATGTGTCGAGGATTTTAAATGACCGACATGACGTGATAGCTTATGGCCACGGTGTGACATCTGTTTAATGAGAAACCCTAATTCCTAGGGTTTTCGCCCTATTTTATAGAATGTGATGGCTAAGGTTTCTCACCCTCAACATCCCTCACACTCTCTCAGCCTCCAAGCAAACCCTAACCTCCATTGTTGCTCTCTAAGCTTTTTATGTTGATTTTTGGGGTTTAGAAGAAGAAGGAGGTGACTTCTAGACTTGGATTCAACAATCAATTCTTCTCACCATCTTATTGTGCATCTTTTGGACTCTTGTATGTCTCCAAGGTTCAAGATTTGTGATTACAGAGTGCTAGATCTTGTATTTTTCCCCATTTCTTCTTGATCTTGTTAGTTGGGATGGAGAGATTTCATAAAGGTTGCAACTTTAGGAATCTCTGGATCATTTGGAGTAGTTCATGGGTTGGATTTTGAAGTTTGGTGGTTGGTTTGTGCCATGCATAAGATTTTTGTCATAAAATCCCATTTTTGACCTAAGTTGAGTTCAAGACTTGCATTGGACATGCAAGTCTAAAAAGCATCAATCTTTAGGATGGTTTTGGTGCTATAAGCTCTTTTGGAGAAAATGAGCTTTAGACTCAAGGGATTAAGTGATTCTTGATTAATTCCTTGCCATTCTTTAGCTTTTTAGATCTAAGACTTGAGATCTAGACCTCTTAGTGGCTCTCAAAGGATAAAGGTGGAAACTTTACCCCTTTTTGGACATTAGAAATGATTAGATCTGGACTTTGGAACCTTTGGAATTGGAGGATTTGACTTAACTTATTTGGATGTTTTGGATCCAGTTCCCATGGTAATGGCTAGTCTGCCATGACATGGCTGTAACAACCCAATTTTCAAAAGAAAATTTTCATTTTTAATTAACCAAAATATTTCCACAAACCACGGGGTTTCCAAATACAATTGTTTCCAAAAATTCATAACCATTACAAATTTATTTCAAATCATCAGAGTGTCCCATAAAATACCCGAGAGAGAGTGCACACCGCGCCATCAAACCTTGCCCTTGCCCTTGGGTTCAGATGTACCTGAAACAAATCCACAAACGGTAAGCTAATGCTTAGTGAGTTCCCTAGAGCATACTCCACACACAATCCACATAACATATACCATATTAGCTATAAAAGCTATCTCTACACATAAGCCATGCATAAAAACATATAAGGATGTCGTGGGCTCCTCCCAAGGTCTTACTCCAGAATGTCATGTGCTCCCCCACATGGTCTTACACCCAAGTGCCATGGGTTCCCCCATGGTCTTTAGCTAGAAAGCCTTGGGCTCCCCCACATGGTCTTACATCCAAGTATCATGGGCTCCTCCCATGGTCTTTGCTTGAAAATCCATGGGCTCCCCCACATGGTCTTACATAAAGTGCCATGGGCTCCCCCCATGGTCTTTCCCTACAAGTATCACATATATATAGCTAGCATATAACCAAACATATCTAACTATCATACCACATATCTCTACAACAAGCATACCACATATCTCTACACAACAAGTATACCATCTATCATAAAATGGGTCGGCCTTGGTGCCTTAGACCCATTGGTATGGTGAGAAGACTCACATCTCGTGAATGTAGAACTGACAAGCTAAGATGAGCTAATCCCCCACGTTCTGCTCCAAATCAACCACCTATAATCATCATGTGATTAACTCGTCAAAATCCCGTAGACACTCTTAAATTCAACCCTGGTAATTCCTCCACTCGTCGAGTTACCTGTGTAACTCGCCGAGTCCCTCCGAAAACTCATGAATACCGAACCAAAAAATCATGAAACCGAAATCTCATGAAACCAAAAACTCATGAAACCGAAAACTCACTTGAAAGACCCGAAAATAGGTAAACCCTATTTGACTGGTCGAGTCAGCTAAGGGACTCGACAAGTTTCTTCAGTCTCCTTCAAGTTCAGCCTTTTCCAGTTGGATCTAATGTCCCAAACTCTAGATCCAAACTCTCCTAGTGCAGATACCACGTAAAGTTGCAAACTTTACGTGCATGCAAGGTCCTCCAAGGCTATAACTTCAAAACTAGGATTCCTACAAGGTTCTCATGCATGGAAAGGGGCTAATTTGGATAAAGTGAGTTACTTTATGTCCTTGGGGACCTACCGAGGTCCAGATCTGGAACCATTTCCTTGTGACAAGTCCAGATTTGAGTTTGACCCTATTTTGCACCCAAAAGTGACCACATTCTACCATGAATTGAGATCTAAGTAATTAGAGATCAAGGTGGTAGCTTTTTACCTCTAAATGAATGCTTACAACCCATAGATGCTGGATCCCAAGCTTTCTCCATCCTTCAAGCTCTTCTATCTTCAAGTTTCCTTCTTCAAAGGCACAAATTTCACTCTTAAAGGTCCACACACACTCAAAGAAGCTCAAATATGCGGCTAGGGTTTCTTTCTGGACTGAAAGGATAATAAGAGAGGATACAATGAGCCATAAGTCTTTTAAATAGGGTACCTACCGCTAAAATTTGGGGTTTCCCTCTACAACACGTACTCGTTGAGTCGGGCCTTCCGAATCGTCGATTAGGGTCGAAATCCCACGTCCACCAAAATGTATCTACTCGACGAGTTGGACTCCTAACTCGCCGAGTCCACACATTAACCCTAAACTTAATTAAGTAATACCTAGAATAGGTGTTACAAATCTCCCCCACTTGAACTAGACTTCATCCTCGAAGTCTGCTGATCCAAAAAGATCCAGGTAGTGGTCTTTCTTCTCGTCCTCCGGCTCCCAATTCCATTCGGAGCCCCTGTAGGGCTGCCATTGCACCTTCACCAGCTTCACTTCCTTTTTCCGAAGAACCTTTGTTTTCCTATTTAAGATTGAAAACGACCTCTCAATGTAGTTTAGGCTCTCATTCACCTG